CCTGCTTTTTCCCTTTCTCTATTGCACTGGGTGGCTTCACCACTTCCAACTTCTCTTCTGCTTCAGACACTTCCTCCTCCTTCACTCTTTTCTGCTGCTGCGTTTCCATCGTCAGCTCCAAACTACCAGCTGGAGAGAGCATACGTTTGCTTCCGCCGACTGTTGATGGACCTCCTTCCAATCCGAGGACGCTATCTGACGGCGAAGTGAGTGGCATGTAGCCTTTCCGTTCTGGTAAGGGCAAGGGTACTCGCAGATAGGGGCTCTGGAAAATGCTTCTTTGATCTTCTGTGATCACTTGTGCCAGATCAAATCCTAGTCCATGAACATCGGCGCTACAGACCAGGGTGCCCTTGGACTGGTGATCGTCAAATTTGGGGAGAACAATGGAAGAGGAACTGCACTGGGACTGAGTGACCAGGATCTGGGACAGTGTTGTGTACATGGCACTCCCATAGGACGGCATATTCGTCTGTATGCGAACGGGGACAACAAGCGACACCATCGGGTCTGAGCGCGTGGGAACAACCAGCTGAGACGTGGACACGGGCGCTGAAGGGCTTGCTGTGCATGTCAGTGGATGCAACCTACTGTCCGAGCCATATTCTGTGCACGGGGAAAGACTGGAGGTTCCTGCTGCTGGGAATAAGCTGGATTTGATCTGCGATAAATGTCCACCAGCTTCGCCGGGCAACTGCAGAGAAAACTGAGACTGAAGAGGCAGAAAAAAAGCAGAGGGGATGGGTGAGGAGCCAGGGTAGTGCAGCGGCAAGAAGGAAGGATGCTGCCTGAAGGGCACGTCAGCAGGGTGAGACATTAACGGAGCAGTAACGTGAAGCTGGCCTGGGTGAAGGAGCGTTTGCTGGAGAGGAAGTGGTGGGGTCTGAAAAATAGAGGGAGGAATCTGAGGCATGGAGAACTGAGCAGAGAGGATATCAGACATGGTGTGTGCGGCCAAGAGCTCCGCGGACTGCCCTGGCTGTGCCAAGAGATGCTGGTAGGGAAAGAGAGAGACCTGTGGGGACATGTACTGCTTTTCGGGCAGCGTCAGCTGTGGTACGGGATGATGAAAGACTTGCAGAGCTTCTGTGCAGGGCTGCGTATATGCTGGCTGGGGGCTGTCTTTGGGCTGACTCTTATCTGCTGCATAAGTATCGTGGGAGGGCAAGGAGGAGGAAGATGTCGGCTGATGGGGCAAACTTGTAGCGGGAGATTTACTTGAAGAAGAAGGAGTTGGATCTTCCATCTCTTGCCGACCTTTCGGGGACAAGTCTGGGTCGTACTCTGGATGCCTGGTGAGAGATGCTTGCCTGACAAGAAAGCATTTTCTTCTCTCCTGTGGAGCTGAGGTTGATGGCCCAGGTGTTGAGGCAGGAGTGGACGACAAGCTCCCGTAGTCAAACGACTTACTGCGGGTCTCTGATATCTGGGAAGAATGGGACACATTCGGTGTCTGCTCAGAAGCAGATCTTCGCATTTCCCTGGAATGGTGGTGGTGGCTTGGTACCATCAACATATGCGAGCCAACACTAAGAGACTTGGCGTGGGATTCAGAGGGCTGACTGGTTGCCTCTGTCTTGCTGTGCTCCTCACGATCAAATGACACAGAATGGCTGGAGCCATGGGACATGCTGCTTTCCTGACTTGGACTTCTGGTGAGAGAGACGGATTCAAAACTGGACTCTCCAGAGGACTGAGCCATTTCTGCAAGCCGCAGCCTCTTCTTTTTTGGTGGAAGTTTCTCTGCGGGGAGCTGAGAAAGGGTTTGGCTTCTCTGTGGCCACTGGAATTCCTCCGTTTTCTCTGGCTCTTTTGGAGGAGGCTCCGGTTCTGTTTCTGGCCTGTCAGGCTCTTCAGTGACCAGAATCTCTGGGACCTGGATGTTGGGCTGGCGGACCAGCTTGGGCTGCAGGGAATGAGGTGGCCGGCTGTGCTGTGTTGTTGGCTGAGATGAGTACTGTGACAAGGGTTTCTCCTCTGCCTCCACGCTGCTCGCTTGTTCTATAGAGTCAGACTTCTCAAAGGAGCTCGTGTGCTGGATGACGGAGATCTCCTTTGAAGTTGTTCTTCTCTCTTTGCTCTCTGTACTCGAAGCCGGTTTGGTATTCCTGGAGTGGAAGCTGGAGCTGACATCAGAAGGTGTGGATTTACCCGGATCTGCTGGTGACTTAAGGGATTCGCAGGTTAAGTTTAAAGCAACGTCAGATGATGCTGGGTTTGCAAACTGAGTGCCTGGTCCAGTACTTGAGGAGGGGGTGTCAGACAGTTCAAAAGCAGGAGGGTCTTCATCATCACCAAGACTCTTCTCTTTCCGCCTTTTTCGTAGTGGCGTAAGCTCCAAACTGCTCCCTAGTTTGTAATGCATCATCTGGGGCCACGGGTCAGGCTCCCCAGCACTTTTCTCCGTCTCGGAGGAGGCATGGGAACTGGAAGAACGAGGCTTTGAGAGCTGCAGTTCTGAACAGTAATATTTCTTATGGGCTTCATAATTATCCCTTTTCTTGTACCGAGCACCACATACGTTACACTCATACATGAACCCTTTAACTTTCAGACCCTTCCGAGATTTTTTGGTAAGATCGCTTTCCTTGGTTTCGGGCTCCTCAGGAGGTTTGGAAATAGTTTCTTTGCTCACGGAGCTAACCTCCTCCGAGACATATTCTACTCCCAAAGGTAGCTCAATAGCTGGTTGTCGTTTTAGCATTCGAGGATGGGAAGAAAACACTTGACTGCGGCTTAAGACTTCAGGCTCCATGATGTGATCATCAAACGAATAGCTACCTCTAAAGGTATGGGGGGAGCTTATAGTGCATGCAGCAGAAGGCATTGAGTGGCTTCTTAGGAGAGGCACTGTCTCTGTGGCACTGTGGGATTGCTGAAGTGACAACAATGATTGTTCGGGCTTAATTTTTTCACCGTGTGATGCCAACACTTTGGATGCATCCAACTGGCTGCTGGAACCAGACTTGATGTCAAACTGAAATGGTTCCCTATATACACCGGACTTTGGAGATTCGATGCTGCTACGTCTAGATAAGGAGCTTCTTCTAGGCTTAACACTATCTATTTCACTGGTATCTACAACAGCTTCATTAATCGTAATTAGCTTAGTGATGTGTTCAATAACCTGTGTTCTAGGCACAGATAACGGCACTATACTAGGCTTCTCCTCGGCAGACAGGTGCGACCCGCCCTGCGTTGTGTTTGTACCTAACATTGCAGTCCTTTGCCCAATTCTACCACATTTCCCAAAAATAATTTCTGCGTAAGATTTTGCATTAGTATTTGGTGGGCTGATCTGCTGCTCTGCACTTTCTGACCTGGAGAAGTAGCCTGACTCGGTACTCCCTTTGCTGCCGGGGCTCAGGAACGCCTGCTCATCAATGACCTTCTTGCGTTCGCTTAAGCGGAGCGCAAGCTTCTGTTTTATCGTATGAGTGTCTTCAGATTTATGGCTCAGAGTGTGGTCTGACGATGGCTCCGCAAACTGGGTGCTGTCCTCAAGAGACTGGGACATACTGGAATGAGATAACGAGCACCGGTCGTGGCTGGAGCCTTGGCTTCCTGCACTCAACAAGCTACTGGACAACAGGCTGTGCTTTGGCCTGGGCGAGAGCTCTCCCGAGTGGCCTGACATTGCACCCGTTTCCTCCTCGGAATCCGTGCTTTCCCCTTCTGTTGGCTCTTCAAAGTCCTCCCCGCCGATCCTTTCCATTTCCAAGCCGGAGGGGTACATCTCCGCTCCGATTCCTGAGGCCAGCCCAGCTTTTATTCTGTGAGCGTGAGATTTCCTATGCTTGTACAGATTGCTCTTGGTCTTGAAAGAAAAGCCGCATGGAATGCAAGGGTACGGCCTCTCCCCCGTGTGGGACCTGATGTGCTTCTGGAGCACACTCGGCTTTGCACAAGGCCTGCTGCAGTACTGGCAAATGTACTTGCCCGGCTTCTGAGGTTTCTTTTCCTTCTTGTGCACCTCCTCAGCTGGCTTTAAGGAAACCTGTGAAGGGCGAGGAATATAGACCTTTTGAACGGACGGCATGTCCTCTCCAGGAATGATCGGTGATTGGGAAGGTAAGAGCTGGCCGGGATGAGAATGAAGCCCGGGCGACGAAAAGGAGCCAGAGGGACCTGGTCTTACTGGATCGACTAGCTGCCATGTGGGCCCTTCAAGGACGTGCTCTGGCTTCCCAGGAGACATGAATGCTGGTGACAGTGCGTGCTGCTGAAGCGGCGGAACGTGGGGCGGGTGTTCGAAAGAGGAAGGCTTCGGTTGCTTCTGATGTCCAGTATTCTCCTGAGATTCTTCTCTTGGAATTGGCAAAGAGCCAGAAAAGTGCTGCTGCGATAGGATATCTCGGAAAGGGGGTCCTTGCGAAGAAGAAGCGGAGCTGCCCTGATACGTAGCTGCAGATGAAATACTGGCTTGGAAAGCCTCTCCTTTGGGAAGCCTCTTCCTTGGACTTTCCTCAGCCTTTTTTGTGCTCTTCTGGCTTTGTTCAGGATCCATGACCTTAAAAGGGTCTTTGAATGCTATTTTGGGAAGGTTTTGGCAGGCTTCATTTACGAATAATAAAGGTCTCTTCTGTAGATTCCCTGTTCTGCCTGCATTTGCTATGAAGCTGGAGCCACCAGGGGATGGTTGTTGATTTAAGATTTTAGTAAAGTGTCACTAGTTGCTATTTGATTCAAAAAAAAAAAAAATGTTTGAAGGTCAATAAAGTTCACATTGGTAACACATGACAAACTACTTCAAAGAGAGAAAACTTTCCAAAACTTTTAGTCCAAATATTTTCCTTGTGAACTTGGTTAAGGCTTTAAACCTTGCCATTTTATTTCAGTTGACAGTGGCAAGCCTTCAAAGTCAAGATGCAACCCACAATGTGTCTTTTGTTTGTTATGCAAACCTTTGAAAGCTTGAAACGTTAGTGCTCATCTCATAATGATCTTTTTTTTCCCCGTGCAAGAAAAATAACACTGAACGGTGTATGTCTCCCTGTGTCTTCCTTCTGTTCCACTTTGGAGTTCAAAGGCTTTGGAAAAGTATTTCCCACATTTCTGCAATTACATCAACCAAGACAAAACAAACACACACACACAAAAATTACTTCAGCATTTCTATGTAAGCAATTAAACACTGTTACTTTTATAGAGGAACATAACATTTTGAACAAAAGAATTTCTGAATAATTGGTCAAATGTCTACCAAATACGAGATGTTATTTTTAATGGTAAATCAAACATAAATTGTACTAAGTCAAACCTCAAGGACTTAAACTGAGTTTAGCTCACACCTATCTCTATGTTCTAAGAGTACCTAAAGAGAGGAACCTGAAACACAACCAGTTTTGAAAACTCTATTAAAATGGTTTTAAGCTTGAATTCTTTCTAATATTCTGTAAACATTTATGGTTTTACAATTTTTATAATTTTTAGAAGTCCGTTCAAATAGACTACACAGTAGAACTGACTACATACAAAGCACTGCTTAATACAATACATACACTCACAATTCACTACCGACAAATAAAGAACAAATCTTGTCTGTGTAAAATCTTTTCTTAAGCTTGCAATAATCTCTTGTGTCATTTTCAATAATAGCAAGTCAAGAAAAAGCAAGCACTTTTGCTGAAAAATTGTCTCTTTAATTTCCTGCCTTTTGCAAACGAACAATGATGCAAGTCTAACTTGTATAGCAGGCCCTGTATGTGGAACGCCAAAAATCAGCTCACTGTAAAGGGGAATCCTTTTCACAATGGCTATGAATAGGATGCCCTACTAAGCTCACCATACTTGTCAATGAGACAAGTAGACAATTGGGGGTATACTTTTTTCACTGAAAAAAAAAAAAAAAAAGCTAAGGATGGTGCTTTTTAAGTAAATTAAGATGCATAATTTGCAACGATATAGAAAGAAGTATCTTCCTCTCTTGTGAAGCTATTACCTGCTTTAGGATGTAGGACATTGCTATCACAGAATTGCATTGGCTCTACTGTGGAAATTTAGTCCTACTGCTACGTTCTCAGCTTAGCTTATTTTAGCAGAGTGTAAAATACACAGTCCCATCCTGGAACACATCATGAAGCAGCAAAAATGTACAAAAGAGGTTAAAAATTGTCTATTCTTTGGATAGGACTCATCGTACCTAACATGAGGCATTCAAAAGTCAGGGTTCAAGTGTTTGGACACACCTCCACATGCAACCCCTGAGAAAGGCAGGTCCCGTTTAGGGCAAGACACCCCGTATTAAGGTCTTAGCTCAGTGGCATCCATCGCCCTGAGATATCATCTTTTACTGATTAAAACAATGGCAAAAAAACTACTAAAGATTAAACACAGTTGTGGAGCTCATTTATCGTGTTGTTTTTTTACCCAAGAGCGGTGTTCTTTGCCCCATTTATGATGCACAGAGCCCATCAGTGTGCTACAAATGGGTTTAAGCAGAGACTTGCAGCTAATGCAAAGCTGCCTCCCACAAGCTCACTCACATTTAAGAACTGCCAACTAAAGGATGCCTGAAAAATATGTTAATACTCTATTTTCTGCTGCAGTCGCCATCACTATTCCTAAGTGTATAATAATGAGGGCTGCGAGGAAGCGTTCCGAGATGATTCAGTATCATTGCAAATGTTCAGGCTAACACGCTCCTCCTCGGAGGAGCACATGGGCTCATTTTGCTGGGAAATCTGCACAAAAGTCAGCATTTAAAGAACTGCTCCGACAAACAATCACACCTGCTGCCTACAGAGCACAAGGCCATCCCGGGACAACTCCAGCTACTTCCTACGTGTTTCTTTCATTACTGGAAACGGCCCCTGGAATGGGAATGGCAAAAATATATCCCGGAGCCCAACACCGTTGCTACAGGTTTACAGGTCTCCAAAGAAAATTCAGCAGTGAAAAATAAAGAAGCAGAAAAAAAAAAGTGCCTTCAGTTTGAAATCACAGGAGGCTTTTTCCCTATGAACTTGGAAACATGAGTAGAGCAGGGGAATGAGAGCTTCCAAAGAGCTGGTTGCAGATCCTCTGCCCAGTTCTAATAATAATTTCATAATAATAATAATTTCTTCTAATCTCTACTATTGCACAGCTCCACAGCCACAGAGTGCATGGCACCAGCACAGCTTCCTCAGATCTCAAAAACATAGAAATAAAATGAAATATAATAATCACGTGGATTTTATGGCATATGGATTCCCTTAACTAATACGCTGTGACCAAATCCAAAATATAGGCACTAAAAAAAGGAATTCCAGCTATTATTTCTATTCAAACATCATGTCTTAGGGTTTTTACTTGAAATGCCATGGAACAAATATGAATAGAAAACGTCTGCTAATTTTGCAATGACAGAAACAACAACTGCCACCCTGGTGAATTGAAGCAGTGACAGAATCCCCTCTGCTTTCAGAACAACCAGAATTTTACCCTAAAATATAAAATAAAGCGCTTCGGATTGTTCTTTCAGATGGCCTTGCTGACAATTCTGCACTCCCTTGCTCTGGATGAAAGCGATTCGTGTGAAGAGGCCCAGGCGCACGGTCCCCCCAACCCCTGAACCTCAGAGCTCTCCACAAAGGTCTCAAGAAGATACCAAACGTGGCAGGCTTTGGGTTGGCCTCGGCACGACTGGTGCAATCACCACGCACCCATGTTCCTCACAGGGAGCTCCTGGTCGCAGCTTTGACCTACAGGGCAGATATCACCTTTAGCTTTTGAAGCGATGTGCGGCACAGGGATTTCCCCATGCAATGGGTGAGCAGCTCTAGAGCTTGTGTCATTAGGGGCTCCACACTAATCCGCTGCTGCTGCAGCACTGCTAGGACTTGTCAGGGAAATGTTCCTCAAAAATCGCTAAGAACGAGCAAAACCACCAGACAAACAGCAAGGCAAGAGCCACTGCTAGGTCCAGCCCATTGCAAAGAGCGGTGCACACATCAGAGGCGCCTAACTCGCTGTGGGGAAACAGAGAGCACTTACAGCGAACTCGACCGGCTGCAGCTTTGACGGCGCGTCTCTTCGGTTGGCCCGGGATTTAGTTCAGTCTGCAAAAGAAACAGCATGTTGGGCTCATCCGTTGAAAGGCAGAGGACTCGCATCAGGCCCTGGCGGAGCGGATCCATCACCGGTAACGGGAGCAGCGCACAAAGCCGGTCCCAAGAGCTGGAGCAGCCCTTGGCGCCGCGCTGGCCTCCTGCGCAAGGTCCCTCTGATGGTGGCACAAGAGGAGCCCACAGCCCCGCGCTCACATATGCATTTCAGCTCTGCTTAGATACCGACTATTACAGAGCACGCCGTGGATGCTACTGCTCTGCCTCTAAAACGGGTATTTAGTCCCGAGTTTGGTTTTCTGGCCACTTTTGCTCTAAGTGAATCTGTCTGCTACTGTTCAGCTCCTCCATCCTCATCTTATACAACGGCCCTGAACGCATCGATCTGCACATGTATGGGCCCAAGGCTCAGGCTTAGACAAGCAAGGCAAAGTCTCAAGTAAAGACCTACTCCAAAAAACCACCTCAACCAAAAAACCTCAGGCCCCCTCTTCTTCTTCTGATGTCTAAATGGGGAAGCCATTTCCCACATCACTGCCAGCAATGACACTATGAGGTTACGAGAGAGCAGCTTTCCAGGCTGGATGGATAAGAAGCTCTGGAGTTGGAATCCTCCTCCACGCCTTTCCCATGGGACATGAACAAGCAACGCTCCTCTCCTCTTCCAGCATCTGCTCTTGGAGAAGGAAGGGCTCTGCTCTCCAACAGTCGCTGCCAGATGCAAGGTTAAGTCTCTGCACCCGTCCCGGCTGCTGGGGGTGCCCCCTCACCCCGAGTCTGCCCCGACGCTGCACATGCACCCGCTGGAAGAGGTGCCAGCAAAGAACGTCCTCCTCTGCCCGCAGCAATGCTTGTGGCAGCAGATCACCTCATGCCAGACCAGCGCCTGAGCGGAGCATCCATACGGAGCGAGGAGACGGCGAGAGATGCTCGCCTGCATCCTCGGCGCGCTCCCCTCTCGCCGTGCTCGCGGGTAGTCCCCGCGCGTCCCACCTCCTGCTCCCCACGGCCACGCGCTCCCACTGCAGCTTGGTGCGCTTCAAAGCGACTCAGACAGCTACAAGGGGGATCCACACGCCCGATTCCTAAAGCAACTTTGCAGGCGCAACATTTGCCGAGCCGCCCTGGGCTCGCAGCGGGGAGGACGCGATGCAGCGAGCGACCCGCGTGCGATTCCCGCACCGCTCACACGTCTCCTGCGTGAAACCGGGCATGGCACAACAGCTACGGGCTGCACGAGGCCCCCTTCCTAAAACGGGGACACTTCCTGATTTCCCAGACGTCTTGTGAGTCATCCGTGAGAGTCTGGGAGGCCCTCGGACACTACAGGGAGGGCAACACCCACTGAGATAAACAGGAAACCATATAACATATGTATTTCCATATATATATATAAAAACAGCATATATATATATAATTATATAATATATTATTATATACATTATATTATATAGATTTTTTATATATTGTTTCCATATAACTGGAAAACAGAAGGGAAGACATCCAGGGAACTTTCTCTACTCATCACAAAGTCTAGGGTGTGATGCTGTATTTGTGCTATTCACTCTTGCCGACGCTCCACGTGGTTCCACATCCACACTGCGTGGAAAGCAGCTGAAGAAGGGGAGCTGTGCGGCTCGCCAGCAGGCCACATGCAAAGGGTTAATCCATTTTCACTGCCCCAAACTGTTTTTCCAGAGAAGTGTTTGAGCTGAAACACAGTAATTATTGCAAAATCGGCATGTTCTTAGAGATAAATATTCTAAGAAACATAATGACTGAAATTAAAAGAACAACAACAAAAAAGCAACAAGCCCTTCGTATCCTGGTGAGCATCACCACCAGGAAGCTGCAGGTAAAAACTGTTTCTCCCCACAGGGACATGGAGAACACGGGCTGAGGGCACCATTTCCCGTGGTCATACTCACATTATGTAGAAAATGGCATTTTCTCCTATGTGAAACACAACACACAGCTCTGCCCCAGCCAGGCCACATCTGATTTGCAGTTTTAAGGTAGCCCTAGCACTTGCACAGGTTCTCCCAAAGCTTCATGCATGCTGAGGCTGCTCTGCTTGTGCACACAAGCACATGCTTGGGAGCAGGAGAATTTAGCAATGTCGTTTCCATCATTAATTCCATCATTTCCATCATCCCCTGGGATTTGAAGTGAGGCTCCTGCAGATGGTAAGGGCAAGCCAATAGAGAAGCACTGCTCTCGCACTCCAGGAGAGAGGGTTTTTTATGTTCATAATGAAACTAATCTTGTTTTCTTGCAAACAATACTCAAGAAAACCAAGTTCTCGCATAATTTTTAGACGACCCTCAAGACTCGTTCAATGTTTCTGCGTGTGACGGGGGATTATTTGCACTGCTGCAAGCCTCTCCTCCAGAGGACTGTAAAAATCACTGCTGCTTTCACTTCTCGTGTGCTTATTGATGCAAAAAGTCATTAGTAAACTAATATTTCAAAACTACTGCTGCGTAATGATTCTTTCAAAATTCACCCGAATTGAGCACTCCAGACCTGCCAAACCGAGAGAGGGGAGCCAGTTATTGGCAAGAGGGGGAGTCTCTCCAAGGTAGCGTGTCCTGCACACAGCTAACGTGGTAATTGCCCTTCCCTGCTAATACGTTCCCCCTGCTGAGACTTACGGTTAAACTCATATATTGAGAAATTTTCCAAAACGTTTCCACAGAGTTTCAAACCACAGGAGTGGAAAAAAAAAAAAGAAAGAAGAAGAAGAAGAAGAAGAGGATGGCTAGGGTTCACATGGAGTTTATGATTTCTGCTCAGTCTCATAATTGCAGGGTGAATCAGTGGGGAATGAGGTTTCAGTGAACACCACAGGCCCTGGTTTCATGGCCTGGAAGCTCAGCACGGATCCGCTGCAAATGGTTCCCCTTGACCCTCCCCAACTTCCTGGGGAGCCCTGCCTTTTTCCAGGATGCCGTGCTCATATTGAGCAGTTTTGCTCCCTGGCAAGAACCCCCTGCTCCCTGGCTGCTCATTTCTCCAAGTCGCCCTGCACAGAGCCCGACCACGTGGTGGCCGGCTGCAGAGGCGAGCAGAAATAAAGGAATTCAGGGATGTTCAAACAACACGGCCCTGGCTTGACCAGGTGATAATACGGGCAGCGTGCCCGTCCTCCCGTTGGAGAATTCACCCTCCCGCACCTAGCGTGCGGATGAGCCTGCTCTGGGGATGGGCTTGCAGGACGCACGAGGCTCCGGCAGGACACAGCAGGTTTGTAGCGCTGAATTAAAAAAAATAATGAGGATTTGGAAGACAACGGAAACAATGAAAGGAAAGATTTAAAATTCAAATGCCATCTCTGTTCCTTGATAATTTTGTTCTGCAAGCTATTGCACAAACTGTTTTTTGTCCCATTAACAATAACGCAGAAGCAATTAAGTAAAATGCAATAAAACTTAAGGAAAATAAAACTAAAACAGTCTCCAAGATTATTGTATAACCTCGCTAAAATGATAAAATGATCTTCCAAGCTGACATTACAAAAGGCTTCCAGCTTTGGTAAGACAGGCCATCTTCGCAGAGCCCCTGACAAGAAAATAATATTCAGTGGAGAGCTCTTCCAAAGCAGCACGTTACTTTCTGGAGACAGCATCACTACACAAGGCCGTATTGTGCCAGCCTGTATCTTATTTAATCGAACACAAAGAGGAGATGCTGAAAGATTTTTGTTTAAGTGTCAGTGGAGAAAGCCCGGAATCTCAGTGGAAATAATTCAGCCAGGAAACTTCCCCCCACTGCTTTAGGACGAAAGACAATGGGATTCTTCCTGTCCTGATTGAAATGAGAGACAAAAAGAGAAGAAAATGGTCCTTTTATTCTGGCAAAAAATAGAGATTGTGATCCTGTGACCAAGCTGGCAACCTCCTGTTTGCAGAAACAGCCCTGACCCGTTAGGAGCACGCACTGAAACACATCTCTAAATTGTCACATAACAGAAACAGGGAATAAACCCAGCGAGACACACGCAGAGCAAGTGCCTGCCTGTCCCCAGTGCTATCCTTGCCGGGAAAGCCTCCCTGATAAAAACTTCACCGAGCTCGTGTTGCTCAGCAGGGCAACTGGTAGGAGAGTCGGTTTAATTAACCAAACTTTTCTTTTGCAAGATCAATATTTCCTAAGCCAATCTGGAGCTGCTGAAATGTCACGGATTGACAGATCTGAGGACAGCAGCAGATCTCCTAATCGGATGGATGCAGAAGATGCTACTTCGCACACAGTCCTGAAAAAGTCCAGCAAAATACATCGACCCTCGCTTTGGAAAGAGCTGATATACACGACAGACAGACACGAGCATGCAAAACTACACGCACGGGAGCGATCCAAAATTAAATGGATGTTTGCGGAGAGCAGCACGTGTCGGGGTGCAAAGACCTGCTGCTGTTGGACGACTGGTGCTCTGCAGAACAGCAGCGCTGGGGACGGACGCTCGGGAGGAACTGGCACGTTCAGCGTTCTCACACCAACAAGGCCAAGCCAAGTCCCCAAAACAGAAATCATTTCAAATCAAGATATACATTTGTTTAACAGGAAAGGAGGAAAGAGAGAGAAAAAAAAAACCCATGACTAAGTTTGGAGGGAATGTTATTAACTTTGTGGGAAGGAAAGGATCAAGTCTGGACAGTGTTTTCCTCCTTGTCATCACGAGTTCTACAGAAGTCCCTCGTATGTGCATGCTAAAATATACCCGATGCAAGGGAAATGAAGCAGCGTTTAATAAGAACCAGGATGGGTTTGGGTTAATTTCCAGGTGATTGATCTTTTATTGACAGACAGATATTTGCATTCACGTACAAGAATTATGTAGGGACCCGTCCATAGTGCGTCCACCAATTCCTGTTTTTTCCTAGCAAACCTATTCCTCCAAGAACCTACAGCTCTCACTGCAGGAAAGAGGAAACACAGGCCAGTATTTTACGTGTCCTCCCCACGCCGCTGCAGACCTAAGATCTGCACCTTAG